GCATGTCTCCTAATGAATTGATAAATTAGTACAAAAACAATCGACGGAAAAGAAACTATATGAACTAGAAACAACAATGACAATCACAAAATTTGAAGCAGTATCAATCTGGAATCCCCAGATTTATTTATTTTTTTAAAATGAATATATGTCCACTCCATATATTTGTTTCAGGGTATGGAATGAATCTACTTGGGTGTCTCTAAACAGCATGCAGACTTACACTCTATGAAAGTCCTTAATTACACATTGCTCTTCTAAGACTGCACCATGCAACCAGATTTTTAAAGACTGACTGAAGGAAAGAAGTTTGTGTCAGAAAGTGAAATGAGGATTGTGTACTGAAGGCAATTTTTAAAACCCTTACTTTTCAGTGAGCCTTATACTTGTGTTAGCCCTGAGTGACCAGGTATGATGTGATAGCCTTAAAAAAAGAAGTCTAGCTTTTTAAAAAGGAACTATTAATGAAGCTGGGGGATATTGTCACATGATACGGTTGCTTACGTGTATAACATTGTTTTCTTCTGTTTTGAAGGTCTGTGTTGCATTGCTTTGCTTGCCTCATACCATGAGAGGTGCTAATCTTCTCAAAGAGTAACCCAAACACTGAAAACGCATTTTGAAATTGTCAGTATAATGTACGGCCTGGGCAGATGGAGTCATAGACACCGTCCACAGCAGGTACATCACACTTGCACAGTGTTATGTTCACCCAGCACTCTAAGGTGACAGGCAAGCAGGGTGGCATTGCCAAGAAACAGGTCAAAATAGAACACATGTCTGCATTCAAACACATGTGGGCTTAGTTATATGTATATGTGCACATTTCTAAAGGATTGGTGTAGTTTTAATTATAAATACAACACATCTGACCATCATGGGGGAAGTGTATAACCAAGTGACAGGTGTACCTGCTTGGTATAGTGTGCAAGTGCTGTCGATGGGCAATTTCCAGGCCACAACTCTTTTCCCTTTTATGGTTTTATATTTTCAAATTGGATTTGGACAGGACAGCTGTTTAAATAGAGGTGCTCTTCAAACCTGGCAGCCGCTGAAAGAGAGGGCTATCCTCTGAAAACAGCGCACATGGGTACGCTACAGATAGATGCATCCACAGGTGAGTTTTGGAATTGTTTACTGCACATGAAAAGCTTTTTTGGCTGGGGGGAGAGCTTTTTCAGAAGTGGTGGTGGTTTTCTTTATTTTGTAGTTGAGGTTCCCCTCTTCTGTTTTTACACTTAAAAAACAACATCCCCCTTCCAGCTGATGGCCACCAATGGGTGGGGAGACTTGGCCACTTCATCTAAGTGAGATATACCCCGCTCCATTTCTTAGAAATATTCCCACCACCAGCATGAGCTGCCAAAAAAGGGGGGAAAGGAAAAAGCATTTGGCTTATCTCTAGAGAATACACTAACTAAGCCATTTAGTAATTGGTGGCGGTGGTAGGTATAGTTACTAGTGAAATAGATGAACCAAAAAACAAGATGAAATTGATTTCAGTATAGAGACTGATGGTGGTGATGAAGAGCTGCAAGAAGCTTCATGAGACTTTGGTCTAATGCTTTCAAAATATAGTTAGGTTATATCATTATAAGTTCCATTAATTCACGAATTTGCACTGAAAAGGGCCAGGGGGAAAAAGCATGCTTTAAAGTGAATTTATAAAATGCTTGCAGCTATGTTTGTCTATTATAATACAAAAAATTAAACACATCAAAAGGACTACATGTTTCTTAGGACCAACCAAAAAGTGACAATACAGCCAGCAAACTTTGTAAGACTCTTCTTCAGGCTGAACAACAATAGCCTAAAAGTGCTAGGTGATTTGGAGCATGAAAGAGAAGCCCGGGTGTGATTTTGAAAATGTAGAAAATGAAATTTCAAAATGAAAAGAGAACATTTTCTTTCACATGTTTGTATGAATGGGATTCCGTGTATGTGTCTGGGAGAAGGTATGTGGTACATGTTTTTACTTGGCCTTGAAAATAACGCTTGGGCCCACCCCAGATCCCATGGAAGCAAATTCTTAAGGCTATTCCTTCTCCAGTACTCTACTATATATGAAAATAATCTTAATGGCTCAATGCTGGAAGGCTTCCCTAAGGATTTCAAAACATCAGGATCAGATTGTTCATAGTAATGGTGCTCAATGGAGCATATTGTTCATCTTCTGATAATGGGTGATTAAGCCTTGCTAATTGTCTAAGGGATGACACACCAGGCCTAAGGGGCATTCTGTAAACATCTGAGCTATAATTTGGGTGCAGTGTGTGCTCACAATAAGGCAGGTCACCCAGGATATTGCAAAAACTTCCCTTAAACAGAGACCCAGTTACTTGATTGAGCACCTTCTCTCACATAGACCTGCCTGCATGTAAAAATCTATCAGAGAAGCACCCTTCACAAAGCGGTAGTTGGCTGATATTTGATCAATTGCTACACAAGAGAGGTGGTAGCTGAGTTGGGGTGGCAACACCTGATCTGGCAGTGGAATCGCTGTGGCTTGCTGGGAGAAAGGATGGGAGGGAAAGGCAGCAGGGAGGTTAGCACTGTTGAAACACACCAGCAGGAGTACCATATTGGCTCCTTGTCCACTCTTGGAGAGAGGGCCTTTTCTGTGTTGGCCCCCTGAATGTGAAATTCCTTTCAGATATGGTTGGCATCAACTTCTTTGAGTTTTCAAAGAACAGAGGCCAGTTGAGGGACACCTCCTATTCATCCAAACTCCTTCTACCCCAGTGAATTGGGGGTTTGTGTTATATGGGCAGTATACAAATGCAATAAGTAAAAAATAAATACCTGAAAGTAAGTACTACTGAATTCAATGGTTTTAGATGACTTTAGATAAACTATTATCTCAGTGTGTCGTCTCCCCACCCCCACCGGCGAGCCACCATCAGCAATATAGGAACTAATAATACTGACTTAACTTACAGGGTTGTTGAAAGGCTTAAAACTAAATAATGCATGTTAAGTGTTATGAATATTTGAAAGCAGTATGCAAATGTTTATTATTATTAATAATTGATAGTTAAGGCATAACTGTACTCCACGCTCTGGTAACTTCCAGATTGGGTAATTGCAATGCACTTTACTTGGAGCTGCCCTTGAAGACGACTTGGAAACTGCAATTGGTACAAAATGCAGCAGTTAGTTTTCGTTCAGGTTTCATACAATTCCTGTTTTGAAAAAGCTGCATTGGTTGCCAGTTCATTTCCAGCCCCGTTTGAGCTGCTCATGTTAACGTTTAAAGCCCTAAACAACTCAGGCCTAAAATATCTGAAAGATGACCTCCTTCCCTACAGACCTTCTTGGGTACTGAGATCAATGGAGGGCCCCCCTTGGTAGTTCCTCTGCCCTCAGAGGTTGGGGGTACCTTTTCTGTGATGGCCCCTAAGCTGTGGAACACCCTCCTCAGAGAGGAGGCACTTTCATTGTGCAGCTTTTGGTGAATGCTGAAGGCACACCTCTAAACCCTGAGTTTCGACACTTGAGGTATACATTTATACGACCCACCTTATTTTTGTGATTGTTTTGATCTGTTTTTAGCATTGTGGTGTAATGTTGTAACTTCCTCTGGAACCTTAGGGCAAAGGGAAGGTAATTCATCATCATCACCATCTATGCTAATGATACCAAGTATGCACTTTTGCTTAAAAACAAAAGAAGGCCCATAGTTCAATGTTAGATTACATGTTCTGCATTAAAAGCTCTCAAGCGGGGCCAGGAAAAGAATTCTTGCCTAAGACTCTGGAGAACTTCCTCCAGTAGACAACGCTGAGGTAAATGGGCCAAGAGTCTGACTTGGTAAAAGACAAGAAGTACAAAGGTCCACTTCATCCAACAGCAGGTAGTAGGTGATCCATCAAAATTGGCACCCTGCTCTATCTTTTACCTATCTCTGCTGCAGACATGCCTTCTCTTGGCAGGTATCCCACATTCTGTAAATGAGTAGAGCGCTATGTGTCAGCTGTGCCAATCACCTTGCAAAAACTCACAGGATGTAGCTTTCATGAAACCCAGCTCTTACACACTTTACCTTTCGATATTCAGACTACTCCCAGCTCTTTTGTTATCCGTGTTGCCAGTGAATCAACACCTACCTACATATCCCTTTCTGAGCTTAATTAACAAATGCTAGGGGCTGTTTCGGGCATACAATGCCATCTCTTGTGATGATCCTGTTTCTGCATGCTCACCCCAATTGAATCTCCAGCTCATGGGCACACCTGCCTTCCTCTCTGTGATCAATCAGAAGAAACTTCTATTCCATCAGCTGAATCTACCCATCTATCCATTGTCTATGGCTGCAAGCATTTCTCAGCATTATGTAAAGAAAACCCCCAAAATAATAATAATAATAATAATAATAATAATAATAATAATAATAATTTGTTATTTATATGCCGCCCATCTGACTGGGTTGCCCCAACTACTCTGGGCAGCTTCCATCAAATTAAAACACAGTAAGACATAAAACATTAAAAACTTCCCTATACAGGGTTGCCTTCAGATGTCTTCCAAAGTCAGATAGTTGTTTATTTCCTTGACATCTGACGGAAGGGCGTTCCACAGAGCGAGTATGTCTACTGAGAAGGCCCTCTGCGTGGTTCTCTGTAGCCTTGCTTCTCACAGTGAGAGAACTACCAGAGGGTCCATGGAGATGGACCTCAGTCTGAACAATCTAACTGCACAGCAGAAAAGATGGGGGCTGGGTTAAAGTCTTCATTAAGGGAAGCTTCCTAAAACCTTCTAAGAACTACAGACACAGGATGTGGTTGGTAGCAGCCACTTCCTCAGGCAGAAAGGGGACCCTTTTTAGACCACCAACACCTTCGTCTTCCATTTGGACAACAGAAAACATTTTTTCTCACCAAATAATACTTCATAGAGACTTCCCTCAACATCAGGAAGTGACTTCCAAAACCGTGAGGTTAAAAAATCAACATGCTCAGTACACTCTCATGGTAGCATCAGTATTTGTTTCCTCTAGAAGAGAATAGCTTAGTGGGCTAGAGTGTGGTGCCGATAAAGCCAAGGTTGCCGGTTCAATCCCCGTATGGGACAGTTGCATATTCCTGCAACTGGCTTCCAACTCGAAACTTTTATGATTCTATCTGTCCCAGTTAAATGTATTAGTCTAATCTAAAGATTCAGCAGGGCTTCTTCTGTTCAACACCATGCAGAGTTATATGTTGATTACATAGAGATGTTGAGAAGTAGGGATGTGCATTTGCTTCAGGATAGATGGAAAATGGAACCAAATGAGGCTCACTCAGTTCGGTTTCTGATTGTCCTATACAGAGTGCAAAGAATGGGCATGAACTGGGGCTAAGTTTATTTGTGTCCAATAGCAGTAGGAGCTGAATTGACACAGAAAGGAGTATGGGACCACTCAGGGCCAGCCCAAGACATTTCGGCACCTGAGGCAGACTCCAAAATGGCGCCTCCTCCCTGCAAGAACAAGGGAGGAACATCAGGAATAAGTAGTGGAAGAGGAAGATCGACATCAGGGTCTGCTGCCCCCTGAGGTCAGCTTACCTTGACTCATGCGTTGGCTGGCTCTGGGACCATTCTTAGTAGCTGCCATTTCCTATTCCCCAGAATCCCTAGACAAAGTGCAATCCCAGGGCATTTTGCGGGGGCGAAGAGTGGATGCTGGATAAAACAGAGGTTCCCCCAATGCTGCCTGCAGATGTCTGCTGTGCTGCCACCACAGACACCAGCAGAGAGGAGAGACCAAAAATGAATGCAAGTACTGAAATGAAACAAATGTAAATGAGTAAAACATAATGCAAATGCAAATGAATGAACCATGAAGCAAACAGTTTTCAGCAAAGAAAATGAACAGAATAATCCTGAAACAAAAGGCAATTTATAGTAAACCTCTACTGGGAAATGGACTGAGAATTATTTTCCGTAGAGCATGCAGGTTGTCAACTTTTTTTTACTGCACTCTGCTCATGAACCTTCTACTGAACTGCAGGCACTAGCAGGTGATGTGCAGATCAAGCAGCTCATTCGGAGACAAAATGCTGGACTAGATAGCTTTTGTCTGATTTGGTACAGCAATACTGTCACATCCTCGAGGTGTGAACTGAATCTAATTTTTCCCTCATCCCTTCTTCTGATTGGACATGTCGACTGTTAGGTTCTTAAAATGTATTTAGTCCTTCAGAAGTCCCTTTTGAAAGAAACTGGGCAGTCTCTTAGAGAAGAAAGAAAGAAATAACTTTATTTGCATTAGCCAATGGCCATAGCAACAGTAAAACATTACAGTATATGCAGAAAAGGAAATTTGATATAAGAGCACAATTTAAAGTCCTGAATCAGCAGTCAGTTAGTGGCCCTTATTCTGATTGCCCCTGCTATGAACCTAGCAAGCTTTGCTGTTATCTGCTCATTTTGATCTGATAGAAGAAAGGGCATTGTGGCAGTGGTTGAGCACCTTGGGATGGTTAGTATGAGTGGGGTGATTGTTTCGTTCCTCAGGTCTTTGTAGAGAGTACAAGACAGGAGGACGTGTGCCGCTGTTTCGGTGCTACCATCTCCACAGGGGCAAAGACGTTTCTCAGACGGGATCTTTTGGAATCAACCCTCAAGTACCGCAGATGGCAAAACACCCAGTCTTGCAAGTGTAAAAGCACATCTGTATTTTAGGATAATAAGTTTGTGCAGATATGGGGCCAAAGAATCAAAATGGAGAGGTGGAAAATGAACATACCAAGGGCAGAATTTCCTTATAGTGGCCAGGTTGTTCTGATGCTCGATATCTTTTAGACGTTGACCAAATAGACTGTTTGCTTTAGTAGGGCCCATAGTGAGTTGGTATTGTGGGGATAGGCCACAAGAGTGAAGTTTTTGATAGACAGTTTTAAGCCAGGCACTTCTATGGGAGTCTTGAAGTACTAGGGATAGTAAACCAGGGGGATTTGAGTTTAGGCGGAGCCAGAAGTTAAGGGTTCTTTGCCAAGTCCGTACTTCTACTGAAGGGAGACTTGCCTCCAGTCTCAATGATGCATTTGGGACACATGGCGGTACAGAAAACATCTGCCTTTGAAACTTTGATTGAACAGCTTCCAAAGTGCTACAGTGGTTACCAGTCCAAGTCTGAGCCCCGTATAGTAGCTGTGCTAGGGGTTTAGCTTAGAAGACTTCTAGGGCTGATGGCATATGTTTGCCACTCTTTGTATTGAAAAAGCAAGTCAAAGTCTTGGCACTTTGGGATGCTTTTTCTTTTGCACATTTTTGGTGTGCTCCCCATGACCCCGTGGACTGGAGGATAAGGCCCAAATATTTGAAAGCTTTGATCTATTTGATTGGCTGATTGTCCATACGCCAACTGTGGGGCCTATATTTTCTTGAGAAAACCATAACTTTGGTTTTCTGATAGTTTACGACCAGGTGTTTTCTCTGGCAATACACTGAGAATTCTCTTATCAATCTTTTTAGGCCTATTTTTGTTTGGGATAAGAGGACCGCATCATCAGCATATAATAGTACAGAGATTGGTTTTGAGGCCAGATTAAGGGCATGGAACTCTGGAGATGTTAGGCACGTTTATGTATAGGTTAAAGAGTGCCAGAGCTAAAATGCATCCTTGCTTGACTCCCTTTGTGGCTGGTACAGATCCTGTAAGTTGGCCATTTGTAGAGCCACACACTTTCAGCACAGTGTCTTTGTAAAGGCAGTTAATCAGATATAATAATCTTTTGTCTATGCTTGAGGTGTTCAATTTAGCCCATAGTCTTACTCATGAGATTGAGTCAAAAGCAGCTTTCAAATCAATGAAAGCAGCATATAACACACCGCGAGATTGCTTGGTGTACATAGATGAGGTGGGCTAGGACGAAGCAATGGTCTATGGTAGATCTGCCTTGCCTGAATCCTGCTTGCTCTTCTGCAAGGATAGCCTCAATATCAATCCAGTTGATTAATTTATTGTAGAGGTGTTTTGCATATAATTTACTAACTATAGGTAAGAGGCTGACAGGTCTGTGGCTGTCCGGATCCAATGTAGGGCCCTTTTTGAATATTGGGATGATTACCTCAGTGGCCCAGCTGTCGGGGAGTAAACCAGATGAATCAATGTGAGAGAATATTGCCACAAGCAGAGGTGCCCACCAGTCAATATTGGACTTCAAAAGTTCTGGGGGCAGGTGATCAATGCCTGGGGCTTTATTGTTTTTTAGCTGCATAATTAGGTCTTTTACCTCAGTTGTGGACACTGGGGGCCAAGCTGGTAAGTTTTCTGGAGATACTGTTGGGTGATTAAGCTGAGCATCCTGGTCTTGGAAAAGTGAGCAGTAGTACTGCGTCCAATCTTGGGGTTTGACAGTACAAACTGGCCTGCTACGCTCATGCTCCGGTAGGCCTGATATGGTATGCTAGAAACAGGATGTGTCCTTGTTGTGCAAGGCCTTTATTAGGCTGTACCAGGCGTTTCTTTCTGCTTCTGTCTTTTCCATGTAATTAGTTGTTCGTACTTCCATCTAAGAGAGACGTATGCAGTAAATAAGAGAGGCGACCTGGAGGTCCTATATTTTCGGTAAGCTCTCTGCAGGTGTCCCTTTGCCTGTTTGCACTCAGAGTCAAACCAGGTGGCAAATCCCGTTAACCTTTTTGTGGCAGTATTTTGGATTACAGTTGTTAAGTGTAGTTTCAGCCTTTCTGTGAGTGTCTTGAATAGTTTCATGGCCTCAGCAGTGGAGTTAGCCGATATAATCGCAGTATGGATGTCCTTTAGCTCAGCTGTTTGAAGAAGGTGAGCCAGGGCTGCATTCAGTAGGGGGGACCATTTGATTCTTTTAGCTGCGGATATGCCAAGGTTTGCATTAGGGATATATTGCGGTTTTACGATAGAATTGTTGAGGCGCAGACTCGCAAAAGCCAGAGTTAAGGGTAAGTGGTCGCTCTCAATGTTATAACCCACTTGGAATCTTGTGAGTCTCTTAGAGATGTTTAGCTTCTGCAGGCAAGCCAAATCATATTGTTCATATTTAGCCAGGACTCCTTCAACACTAGGTGTACTGTCCTATACATTTTTTTAAACAGATGGATCCCCCTGTCCTGTGCACAGTGCCTATCTTATTCTGCTCCTGTTTAATACGCGGGCCATATTTCACGCTACTGAGGACTTGCAGAGGCATCATATTATTGGTAACTTCAGTTCAATGCATCGATCATCTAGATAAGGATAAGCCATCCAAAGGAAATCCAACTAGCAGACTGGAAACCATTGGTTTTGGTTACCACAATTTGATATATCTTAAATCTGAAAAGTCAGACATTTGCTACAGTCACAAGACTGAGAATCACAGGTTTCACCAAAATATAAAGTTTCTAGCCCTGTTTGAGGTAAAGACTAAAAATGAGAGCAGATTGTGCCCTAAGGACTCAAAAATATGAGTCAAACAATAATAAGCCCAACTTCCTTTTTTGGCGGTTCCCTGACACTGTTCCCAGCAATCTTCGCAGATACACCCGTGAATCATCTTTGATGTAGCTTTGTGAGCTAGGTGTGCTTGGTATCTGATTTCTCAGGATTAAAAACATCTGGGTCAGCCAAGCCTAAGATTGCCACCTTTTTCCTGGCAGAGACTCTGTGCTTTAAAAGCTTCACACCAGGCAAAAATGCAACAGGTGTCGTTTTCATGTTTCCCGCCTGGGGTAACATCAGATGAAATGAAGGCTCTGCTTATAGTTTTTGATCTATGATGGCAGCTTCACGCATGCAAGCTGCTATTGCTGAAGATGAATTCAGCCTCCAAGTAACTTCTCTCAAGGCTTCCCAAAGGACAAGAAATAATGCAAGGGGTGGGGCTTTGGCAGTGGTTCCTTAGTGCAGCAATATGTACAGAGATCAGAAGCAAAACCAGCAACAGCAGGGAGGGGAGTCTGAAGGGGAAACAAGGGGAATATGGTACCTTCAGACTGGTGTTTTATTCTAGGTGTATTCTGCAACATGTTATTGACACAATAATAGTGCATCAGCGGTAGACTTACTTTACTCTTTCTGTTGTTCTGCAACATTTTCACCAGGCTACCACTTCACTGCTGTCTGGAGT